TTGGCTGCCACGATAGTGCCCACTGTGTAAATTCAAGATATGTTTAATTTCATAAATATGAAAACAAAGAAATGGTTGCAGAGAGTTCTCATGGGAATTGCTTTCCAATTTTGCTTCCATTTAGCCACCTGTGTGTCCATGGCTCCATTTGTTTACAGCTCTCATCAGCTGTTTAAGGATTTTAAAATGTGCACATGTCCTGGTGCAGTCCTTACCAGCGTATAAGGACAAAGTCATGTTTTCCTTGAGTGCAGGGATGTTATGCGAATATGTGCATTTTTCAGCCAAAATTGGACTTTAAGTACACTTTTTAATCATGTGTTATTTGTCTGCTAATGCAATCTAGTGCTCATTTTCGGCAAACATCATTTAGCCACATGCACCCCTTATCCCGGTTCCTTCCGCATTTTAGGGCCTATGTAGAAGGGCCCTCAGTTGAGAGAAATAGTATGGTATATTATTTAGAACTTCAAAATGGGCTTTGAAAGAACTTTGAAACTTATTTAGCAATGAAATACATTGGGTGACCTTGACGCAGTCACTCTCTCTCTCAGCCTGACCTACTTTCCAGAGTTGTGCTGATGATACAAGTGAGGAGGAGGAGGACAGTCATGTGTGCTACTGATCTCACTGGAATAAAAATGAGATAGAAATGTAGCATGACCTTATCAAAGAAAATCCTGCTGTCATGCATGGAAGGCGGCTACTTTCTCTCAGCATATGTGGGTGGCAAGGTGCATTTCACAAAGTTAAAACCTTAGCTGTTTCAGGCGTGTGATCCTCCTTAGATCTGTCTGTTTCAGTGAATTGTGAAAACAACGATGATTTGTTTGTGCATTTCAAACAGGTTATGATCTGGGGCAAATGTTGTTCAAAAGAGGAGAATAAAGAGAATGCCACGGGACTGATACACCTCTGTTCAACAGCCCTGGATGTTGGAGATTCTGTCACTGCTGTTAGTGCCAGTCACGTGCTTGCTTCTGATGGGAGGTATGTTACCAGGGCACTGTTTTGCCAATGACTTCTGATGTTATGTGACTTTTCAAAACCAAGCCACTTGATGCATGTATGATAAAAGATGTCCTTAGGCCACATACAACTCCTAAATCTTTTTTTTTAATCTGATTCCTTCTCCCCTTGATAGTCCTTTAAAGGGGGCAAGGGCGGGATTTATATATTTATCATGTCAGGAGCGAACCAAAACAGTTGTATTAATAACAGACAAACAAACCAACAAAACACAACATTTGCAGACTTAGTATTCTATTAAATGTTCTTTGACCAGTAGCTGGCCACTTGGAGTGACTCTGGTGCTGCTGCAAGAAGGCCCTCCATTGT